AAAATTGTCTATAGCAGATTCATTGTGCAGCCTAAAACTTAACTCCCTTGACTCTAGAGGTGGTTTGTTAATGTTAGTTAAGAGAAATGTTGGGTAATGGTCTGTAGTGCTATCGGTGATTATACCTGAAGTAAGCGGAGAGGTTATGTTGGTCCAGATGTGATCTAGAGTCGTAGCAGTACTATCAGTGATTCTAGTAGGTCTAGTGATTAAGGGTATGAGGAAGCAGGAATTCATACAGTTGAGGAAGCTAATAGCAGAAGGGTGCTCAGGCTCGCAGAGATCAATATTAAAGTCCCCTGCGATAATTAGATGGTTTTTGTTCAGTCTGTTATCGAGTGTTAGATTACTAAGGTTTGAATTGAATTCGGACACATCAGTGTTAGGAATTCTATAGACTGCACCCACTGACAGGATAGACTCGGCACCCTTGACTCTGAAACTGGCGAAGATATACTCCCCACAGCAGTCTCTAGTTCTAATTACTTTTAAGCATGTTAGTTCATGGTGGTAGTAAAGGGCAGTACCACCACCTCTCTGAATTTGACGACAGTTGTGAATTGCCGAGTAGTTAGGCATGTTAAAGAGTTGAGTAGTGTCCTCTTTCAATCACGTTTCAGTAAGTATAATAAAAGTGAATTTGTTGTCAATAGTTTCAATCAAGGCACTAACATCATCGAAGTGTTTACCTAGGGATCTAACATTTAAGTTGATTACAGAGATATTGTGATTATGTGTTAATACATTGTTTACATCATGTGCTGTAAAATATCTGCAGTTCAGATCATTAAAGTGATGATTGTCATAGATAGTAGATAAGAGGTTTAGTTCAGGGTCTAAACTTGCCTGCATAAAAAGGTTGGTTGCAGGAAAACAAGGCAAGAATGGCAGAATACAAAATAGAATTATGATATAAAAGGGGATAAAATATATAAGCAAGTCTATACAAAAAACAAACAAAAATGAACAAGAAAAGAAAAAAATGAGGTAGCTTACAAGGGGCTTACAGGTACTCTCATGTACACTGTAAGTAATAATTTGCATAATTGAGACACAGGCAAAGCCAGGGGTACAATGGAGTAATAGAGTATGGCAAGGCTAGGCAACCTTGGTAATAAATGAAAACAAAGATAAAAGTTGAATAATACACATAGGCAAATTTAAGCTAAAGATAATTAACCAAAAGTAGTTTAGTTATGACCGTATACTTAAAAAACCCTTAAGAAATATTGAAGCACTCGGTTAATTATGTCCAGAAAATGACTAGTAAAAGTTAAATTTAAAGGTAATTAAAAAGTGAAACAAAGAGAAATTAGGATACCTAGCCCGCACTAGGTGACAAGGGGGTTAATTATGTTGACTCATTGGGAGTGATAATAAGGTGAGACAGACCACATTGGTTGAGGAAAGTGTTGAGGTTATCCTCATTAGCAATTGTAAACATTTTACCTGTTGATGTTTTCCTAACTTTAATCAAGCCATCTCTAACGAAGCACTGATGAATCGCGTCTGGGTTTTGTTGACGGATTTGACGCAGGCGGTAGAGGAGGTGCTGTCTTTTTCTAGTCAAGCACTCGTTTATGTAAATTCCCTTTCGTTGGGATGCAGCTGTTTGGACAAAATGAGATTTCGTGGACTGGGAGGCCAATTTTAGGCGAATTTTCCGCTGGTTTTGTCCTGTTGGGTTCGTTTTGCCTACTCTGTAGGCAGCAATAATGTCTGTTTTGTTTAGAGAGACACGCAATTCATTTTTAAGAGATCCTGAACAATTTCAATACACTTTTCACCTTCGCTTTCCACTGGAATAGCTTGGGACGACACAACTACAGAGTCAAGCAGCTTTTGCTGATCTTGTTCATCCTGGGTGACGGAACGTTGGGCGGATAATGTATTGATACATGCAGTCATTTTGCTGAGAGCTTCCTCTTGTTTTTTTATGGCTTCATCAGATTTCAGACAAATGTTTTCCTCACGGAGACCATTCAAGTCATGCTGGAGTTGATCACGGCTAGCCCTTAAGTTTCTATTATCCTCCTAGAGGAGGGTTATTTCTTGTTGTTGTTGATGGAGGTTCGAGCAGTTTGCTTGATTTTCGGATTGAAGACTCAAGATGATCGTATTTTGAGCCTCAAGGACTGAGCACAACTTTTTGAACCACTGATTATCAGCCCAGTTAGGGAAATCCGGTGAGGGACCAGAAGCACGCTTGAATCTCGTAAACAGTGATGTAAGAGTGGTAATAGTAGTAGTGGTAATGGCAGTGGTAGTAGGATGACTGGAGTATTTGTTGTGGTGGAAACTTGCGGCAGGCAGCGCGGTGGTGGGCAGAGGCGGGCACTGGTACTCACACAGAGAGGATTGTTTTGAATTTAGTTTGCGTCGGAAAGAGTCGATTTGGGTTGGTTACTTTGATTGTGCTATGACATGCTTGGACTCCACGTACTTAGCTGCCTGTGGGTGGTGGTCTACATCATCTGGCGGTAGTTTAAGGGCAGAAATACAGCGTAGAGTGAGGAGTGTAGATAGTGTGTACTCAACGGTTGTTGTTGTTGTTAAAGATGGTTGCGGCTACTGCAACACGTTAATTACTATGCCCACACAGTAATGACACACGGTTTGGCAACAACAAGAGTATACCAATATTACTGCCCCCCTTATCTTGCAACCGTTGCAAAGGACTACTGTGAGCACACACTTACCTCAGCAAGGCAATTAACAAATCAATTGCTTGCTCTCATTAAGTACTGTGAATTCCTCTGAATAATCATAGAGGTCCCTTAAACCCTCAACACAGCTCTTAGGCAGTAATATCGTAATACCTGATAACAACACTGCACAAACCTGCAACATAATGATGCCGTCAGCATACCCCACATGCTAATGACATCATTAGGCAATCAGTCAGCAATCACATCTACTGACTCACCACACAGCACAGTACATAAAACATGCAAATGAACACATAGAAATGGCATTCACATAATCAATGAAAATTATATCATCAGGTAAATGTAACTCTAACTACACAGACCTCAAGGTATCCACTGACATCCCTGCAATGCTGGCCTGCCTACCTCTGTAAATGATTATAATTTTACATGCTGGTACTCCATAGCACTAATCCAGTCTGACCGATTATATAGAATCGACAACTGGATCATTTATATGGTAAATCTCTACACTGACCGGTTACATACCCGAGTCAGTCTACACACTTATATACATAACTCTGTATCTACAGTGTGGTCCCGTGTACAACATCCATCTCCAGGTACTGCCCTACCAGTCACCTGGACATGCCACTGACAGCTGTCACTCAGCTGCTTCCCTAGCCTGGTGGGGCTATGGGACAACACAGCCTTTACCGGAATTTCCACCAGTCCTCAACACACTGTTACACAATGATAATTGTACTCACATTCTACACATCCTCATCAATCCTTTCCCTGGTCACTACCTCTCTGGCAGTAAACACCTAGCTCGCTCCTCCTGCGTCGACAAGATGTGGCTCTAGGCTGTCCAGGGAAAGTGGCCTAAACATGTGGCCACCTCATGGCCCTAGGGGTGGCCACAGGTAGCGCATGACAACACAGCACCCCCCCCCCAGCTGAGCTGGCGCGCGGGGTGGGGGTGGGGGTTTGGTCACGCGGGAAACCTGGGGAGTGGCCCCCCCGGGCGGCTGGCCAAGGTGGGTGGTGCGTGGGCGGCCTGGGGTGGTGCGCACAGATGGGATGCCTCAGCCCAGCTGGCTGGCTGCGCCTACAGGCATACACACATGGATGGGAGATCACTTTACACCCCATCATACCAGCATGCTCGCTTGTACACTCGGGCGACAATGGCCGGCGGCGTCACCACATGGCGGACCCAACCCGGTGGAATACCAATTCTAACAGGGGCCTGTAATGACACCTCACTTACACTGCCCTGATTCCACCAATTGTCCATTGTCCATACAACACTAGACAGGATATTCGAACCACCTGTTACACCATGAGGCTCTGCCATCTGCCTCATGGGTGCCCACTGTCTCTGAGGCTTTTTTTTACTGGTCCTTCCGCACCTCATCGGCCCCAATTTCATGCAAATTGGGCCTAGACACAACCCAGGATGGCAGGAGTGCCATCCACACTGAGTAACAAGGTAATGACAGCGATTAACGGGGTTGGAGGTGGCAGGCTGCCACCTCCACCCAGCTACGTCCTCCTCCACTTGCTGCCCAGCTCAAACTGATGATTTCGCGGGTTAAAGGAACTCAAAATGCCCATATCTCCCCCCCCCCACCTTGTCTTGACCAATCAGCACGAAGCCGGCACAACTCAAGGTGCCGCTTCCAATCACAGCTGATCGCGCCAAAATTCAGCTAGGAGCAGAGATGCCTAACCCAATCACAGGCCTCACTCACCCTCAGGCGTCCCGTGACGTCACAAGGAGGGGGAGGCCTAAAGACAGTGGCGCAATGTCCCACATGGTGGGGGGGGGGGGGCAACGTTCACCCCTCTGTCTAACGGTCATAGAAAAGTACCTACTCACACCGCTCACTTTCAACTCCCATCCTATTTCACAGAAACAGGAAAATTTCTGTAATTCTCTCTACAGAGCCATCACAGACTTCTGACTAGTCTTAAATGATAGTCCATAGCAAGAGCTTTCATCCAACACCCCACAAGTGTATGTTAGTTTGAAAACTTCTTGACTTGAGTACCTAGAGCGACTAGCCTAATCTAGAAAACTAGGAAAACTAGCTGAGGGAATCTACATTCCCTAACAGTGATCATATCACCTCTTTTTCTTCTGTCTTCTAGTTTTGGCATATTTAATGCCTCTAACCTCTCCTCTTAGCTCTTGCCCTTCAGTTCTGGGAGCCACTTAGGGGCGCTAATTTCCGAAAATCTGAAGAAAAACGGAATATTTACGAAAAATACTACAACGTTCTGGCAACACTGGTGCAAACCGTTTTATGTTATCTTGAAAAATAACGTAATTAGAGTCAAATTTCCCGCTGCAACTTTCCCCAATCCGGTCCTCGTGGCCTGGGTGCGCCGTGGGGTATTGTGTCTTACGTTGTAGAAGTCTAATATTTCGTAATAGCGTGGAAAATAACGTGCTATGCATAAAACGAATATAAACTCACTCATTGGCAACAGTCTCGTGTGAGAGAGAGGGTGGGGTTGCTAGCTAAGTCAGTCACTCTGTGTGTCCCTGAGCTGATGAATCAATGTGGAAACGCTCTCACAATATCTCCCAGAACTATCGCTATTTGTGCTATTTTTACTGCAATATGATGTACCAAACGAAGAAGGGGAAAGCTAGATGCATGCGAGCTCTCCGTAGAAGGTATGAGATTGCCACAATGCGTAGATTACACATTCTGATGAGTGAGGATGAGGTAGCCACGAGTGGGAGGAGCTTGTTGCATCCCGCAACCCCCCCCCCCCACACACTCTCACCCTCTGCCACCGCACATCTTGCACCTGCTACTCCAGATCTTGCACCAGTTATTCCAGATCTTGCACCTGCTACTCCAGATCTTGCACCTGCTACTCCAGATCATGCACCTGCTACTCCAGATCATGCACCTGCTACTCCAGTGCCACCTTCAGGACCCATATTTCTGACCAATTATATTAGGTTAGTATGTTTTTTGTTATATTGTGATATTACTTCATAAATATTTGTACATATAAAACTGGTGGCAAATATTTTTTTTTATTATTAATTAGGCGATCTTCATGGAACTTGCACACCATATTGAACCCCTGCCTATCTACAAGGGTGCAAATTTTGAATGACATTAGTCAACATCAACCTCACCCAAAGGTGGCTGAACTTTGACCTTCGTTTGTGCAGGTAAATATTTTACAACTATATCTGACTTCACAGCCTTTATTTATTATTCAATTTACATGAAACTTGCATATTATATGTAAAGTTTATGCCTCTAAAAACACTGGTAGCTTTTCTTATCTACGTAGATTTATTGATTTTATAAATATTGATAAACTTCATTTTGTTGCATACGTTTTTTGGGAAACTTTAAAAATCTGTATTATTGCACTAAATACATCTGGGATAAAAATCCTATATTCAAATCTTTATTATATAGTAAGGTCATAGTTGTCATAGAAATGATTTCGGTTCACAATTGTGGGCTGTGAAAATAATTGAACATTGTTAAAAAATTGTCTAAATTTTTTTTTCTCCCTCTCTATTTAGGCGAGATGCTGAAACTTGGCCCAGTTGCAGCACCTTTCACGTGTATCAGGTTAATAAATTTTGAATGCCCTACAACAACTCTCTTATTTCCAAATTAAGCGCCCCTTAGTAGCATGTCTTTGCACCTTTTTCAGTTTATTGATGTGCTTCTTAAGATATTTGCACCACACAACCGCTGCATATTCTAGCTTTGGCCTAACAAAAGTCGTGAACAATTTCTTTAGTATATCGCCATCCATGTATTTAAAAGCAATTCTGAAGTTAGAAAGCATGGCATAGGCTCCTTGCACAATATTCTTTATGTGGTCCTCTGGTGATAGTTTTCTAACTAGAACCACCCCTAGATCTCTTTCTTTATCAGAATTCTTTAAAGAGTTCTCACATAATATATAGGTTGTGTGGGGGTCTATGTTCTCCTATTCCACATTCCATAACATGGCATTTATTAACATTAAATTCTATTTGCCAAGTGGTGCTCCATATACTTATTTTGTCCAGGTCATCTTGAAGGGCATGGCAATCATCTAAGTTTCTTATCTTTCCTATTATCTTAGCATCATCAGCAAACATGTTCATATAATTCTGTATACAAACTGGTAGATCATTTATGTAGACAATAAACATCACTGGTGCAAGAACTGAACCCTGTGGTACTCCACTTGTGACATTTCTCCAGTTCAAAACATTGCCTCTGATCACTGCCCTCATTTTTCTATCAGTCAGAAAATTTTTCATCCATGTTAGAAGCTTACCTGTCACCCCTCTAATATTTTCCAGTTTCCAGAACAACCTCTTACGTGAAACTCTGTCGAAAGCGTTTTTTAGGTCCAGTTAGATGCAGTCAACCCAACCATCTCTTTCCTGTAATATCTCTGTTGCTCGATCATAGAAACTGAGTAAATTTGATACACAGGATCTTCCAGATCGAAAACCATACTGTCTGTCTGATATTATATAATTTCTCTCCAGGTGTTCTACCCATTTAGTTTTAATTATTTTTTCCAATATTTTGACTATTACACTTGTCAATGATACCGGTCTATAATTAAGGGGGTCTTCCCTGCTTCCACTTTTGTAGATTGGAACTATGTTAGCCTTTTTCCACACATCAGCTACAACTCCTGTAAATAGGGATGCCGGAAAAATCAGTTGAAGAGGAATGCTGAGCTCAGGTGCACATTCTCTCAGAACCCATGGTGAAACTCCATCTGGACCAACTGCTTTGTTCTTATTTAGCTCCTTGAGCATTTTTTCCATTTTGTCTCTAGACACCTCTATGTGCTCTATGTTGTTCTCTGGAATTCTTATTGTATCTGGTTCCCTGAAGATATTATTTTGTACAAACACACTTTGGAACTTTTCGTTTTATGTTTCACACATTTCCTTTTCATTTTCCGTGAATCTATTTCCCATTTTCAACCTCTGAATATTATCCTTTATCTGCAATTTGTTGTTTATGAATTTATAGAATAGACCTGGTTCTGTTTTACATTTGTCTGCAATCCCTTTTTCAAAATTTCTTTCTGCCTCTCTCCTCACTGCTGTGTAGTTGTTTCTCGCATCTTTGTATCACTGGTATGTTTGGGGGTTTGGCCTCTTCCTGTATTGATTCCATTTTTGTGTCTTTTGGCCTCTGGCCCTCTCGCACTTTCTGTTGAACCAATCCTGTTTCCTAGTTCTGCTTCTCTGTTTTGGTATAAATGTTTTTGTGCCTTTATCATATATTTCACAAAACTTGACATACATCTCATTCACTTCCTTGACTAGCAACAAGTCTGTCCAGTTATACTCACAAAAAAATTGTCTAAGGTTGCCATAATGTCCTCTCCTAAAGTCAGGTTTTTCAATTGCATCGACCGTCATATTTTCTTCCAGATTATAACGCATTGCATACTTTATTCCCAAAAAGACATGGTCACTTTTACCTAAGGGAGGAAGGTATATTTCTTCCTCCTTCCATATATGCAGTCTTTCCTGTAGACATATATTATTAAATATGACCGAAAAAGTAAGATTAATAATTTTAATACGAATTTTCTCAATCTTTCGTACATTTCTTTTCACTGTTGGAGGTAAATCAAAAATCAATTCTCCAAAATTCATTTTTATTTCTAGTCTGACGCGACACGAGCGCGTTTCGTAAAACTTATTACATTTTCAAAGACTTTAGTTCACAAATACACAACTGAATAGAACTTACGCATCTCCGATTTTATATCTACATTTGAGTGAGGTGGAAGGGGTGATGTGGCATAAACACAAGACAGAACAAGATGTGGCATTAATAGGGTATTAATTTCATCAACACAAGACAGAACAAGAAGTGGTATTAATAGGGTATTAATTTCATCAACACAAGACAGAACACGAAACAATGGATATTGAATAGAAGTGTTTGTAGAAAGCCTATTGGTCCATATTTCTTGATGCTTCTATATTGGAGCGGAGTCTTGAGGGGGGTAGAATATAGTTGTGCAATAATTGGCTGTTGATTGCTGGCGTTGACTTCTTGATGTGTAGTGCCTCGCAAACGTCAAGCCGCCTGCTATAGCTGTATCTATCGATGATTTGTGTGTTGTTTACTAGGATTTCTCTGGCGATGGTTTGGTTGTGGGAAGAGATTATATGTTCCTTAATGGAGCCCTGTTGCTTATGCATCGTTAAACGCCTAGAAAGAGATGTTGTTGTCTTGCCTATATACTGGGTTTATTGCCTATATACTGGTTTTATATTATTGCACAACTATATTCTACCCACCTCAAGACTCCGCTCCAATATAGAAGCATCAAGAAATATGGACCAATAGGCTTTCTACAAACACTTCTATTCAATATCCATTGTTTCGTGTTCTGTCTTGTGTTGATGAAATTAATACCCTATTAATACCACTTCTTGTTCTGTCTTGTGTTGATGAAATCAATACCCTATTAATGCCACATCTTGTTCTGTCTTGTGTTAATGCCACATCACCCCTTCCACCTCACTCAAATGTAGATATAAAATCGGAGATGCGTAAGTTCTATTCAGTTGTGTATTTGTGAACTAAAGTCTTTGAAAATGTAATAAGTTTTACGAAACGCGCTCGTGTCGCGTCAGACTAGAAATAAAAATGAATTTTGGAGAATTGATTTTTGATTTACCTCCAACAGTGAAAAGAAATGTACGAAAGATTGAGAAAATTCGTGTTAGAATTATTAATCTTACTTTTTCGGTCATATTTAATAATATATATATATATATATATATATATATATATATATATATATATATATATATGTCGTACCTAGTAGCCAGAACGCACTTCTCAGCCTACTATGCAAGGCCCGATTTGCCTAATAAGCCAAGTTTTCCTGAATTAATATATTTTCTCCAATTCTTTTCTTATGAAATGATAAAGCTACCCATTTCATTATGTATGAGGTCATTTTTTTTTATTGGAGTTAAAATTAACGTAGATATATGACCGAACCTAACCAACCCTACCTAACCTATCTTTATAGGTTAGGTTAGGTTAGGTAGCCGAAAATGTTAGGTTAGGTTAGGTAGGTAGTCGAAAAAGCATTAGTTCATGAAAACTTGGCTTATTAGGCAAATCGGGCCTTGCATAGTAGGCTGAGAAGTGCGTTCTGGCTACTAGGTACGACATTATATATATATATATATATATATATATATATATATATATATATATATATATATATATATATATATATATATATATATATATATATATATATATATATTATATATATATATATATATATATATTATATATATATATTATATATATTATATATATATATATATATATATATATATATATATATATATATATATATATATATATATATATATATATATATATATATATATATATATATATATATATATATATATATATATATATATATATATATATATATATATATATATATATATATATATATATATATATATATATATATATATATATATATATATATATGGCCCTCCACACCGCCTGTCCATCCAGGTCGTTGTCCCTCCTCCCAGCAATCTTCATATTGACTGCTCCTGTTCTCCTTCTCCTGTTGAGACTGCAATGGCTGTCGCCCAGTACGATGCTGCTGGCACACCTGTCTATATCAGAAACATAAGCCTGGTTCCTCCTCTTCCTCCCCAGCAGGTGAGAAGGCATCAATCTCTTCCTCACCTTCCGACTCCGACTCTATCCCTGAATCCCCTTCCCATTTCGGTGGTTAAGTCCTCTGTCCCAAATATGGAAATTCCCTTGGCCCTCAATTTTCTCTTGGATGCTGCCCTTGATGAGGTGCGCTCCCCTGTTTCTGCCCCTCCTCTCCCTGATTGCCTTGACCGCACCTCTCCAATGCTGCTCTGGACCCTGTCAGTTCACCTCTGGTTCATCCTACCACTACCTTGACTCCATTGTTCTTGCTAGATTTACCTGTTCTTGATAGATTTACCTGTTCTTGCTAGATTTATCTATGCCCCATAACCCCAATTTCACTGATTCTGATCTTACTTAGTATACTGTTTTAATTTGCCTTTGTTTGACCCGTGTTCTCTATTTCTATTCTTTCTATTTTTGACAATGTTTATTCTTCATTTGAATATTCGTGTATTTTATGCCAACTT